GACATAGACTGAACCAGCGGCCCAGTTCTCCGAGGCCTGTCAACTCCTTCCCCGAGTCCGGAACCCTTTCCTGGGGTCCCGAGAGACTAGCCCAGCTCCTGGCTTGAGTTGCTTCATTCCTTCTCCTCGCCTGTCTGCATGTGGAACGTGGCAGCAGAAGCACCCACCTTCCAGAAACAAGGCCTCAGGCATCTTGACCCTGGGGGTCAGCACTGAGGGAGGAACCCCGCTGTGCTGCTTCCTTCCTGATCTTATCCTGTCTGGTCGGAAGGCCTCTTCTCCAGGTGACAGGAGACAAGAAATAACCCTTCTGAGGAGGCCGCACCCCACGCACCCAGACTCAGCAGAATGACATTACACCCCAAACTCTAGCATCGCTGCCGGCCACGAGGAGGTCGCGGAAGCCCAGGTTCACCGTGAAGCCCCGCAGCTGACGTGTGTGGAAACGGCTTCGCGGGGACCAGGATGCCGGAGTGCAGCACTGCCGAATCCACTCTGCCCTGGGAAACACTGCACGGAACGGCCCCTCGGGTCATTGCGTATTCTTACTTCTGACACTCTCCAATAGCAATATCTTTAATTAGCAGGCTAATGTGGGGCCCACGCAACTGGCCTGCCCTTCCGACAAGAGCAGTCACGGCAAGAACAAGCCCCATCCGTTCCAGGATTGGAGCCAGAGCCCAATCAGCCTGGGCCTCAGCCAAGAGGATGCTCTGGGACTCAGTGTAACCAGGTGGGCAAGAGCCGGGCTTCCGGCTCCTAAGGCCCAATGCCACACCCTTCACAGATTAGCTGTGCAATTCTCCACAGGTTGCTTCACTTCTCTGTGCCCCAATGTCCTCATATGCAACATGGGAATAATAGCATGTTCTTCATAGGGAATAAAGATTAAGTATGATAAAGAGCTTCGCACAGTGTCTGGCATGTAGTTCGTGCTCAATAAATGGCAGGTGCTTTTGGGGGAGGGTGCGGAGCCAGGCCAACCCCGGGGACCAGGATGGTCCCATCCTATGGGACATGACGTCATAGCAAGGACATTGCTGCTGCTGCTCTCTTTTCCCTATAACAGCCACTGCTGTCTCTTTGACAAGCGAACTGGGAAAACTGAATCAAGCATCTTCTCATCCCGCTGGGTTCTCCATGGGTAGACAATCCCTAAACCTTTTAACCTCTGTGCCAGGTCCACGGAACTGGGTGGGGGAAGGCTGCACCTGTCTTTCCTCCCTATGCCATCCCCAGAGCAGGGAGGGTGGTTCTCTTAGGGACTCTGAGCAGGTGCCGAGTCTTGGGACTCACCAGTGGGGCTTCATGGAGTCCTCTCCCCAAGGTGATGGGGAGGATAAAGATCATCTCCCGTTTAGCACCAGGATGATGCATCTTAACCCTCCCCCCACCCCGCCCCCGGGCTCTTCCCTAGCAGGTGGGCCCCTAGTGCAGCCAGATGTTACTACGGATTGCAGAGTTTGGGGAAGTTTATAGGTTTTAAAAGGTCAGGCTCTTTGGTGGTAAAAGTTTTACAGACCAGTAAAAATTTACTGCGGAAGATGGGAAGCACCGCTGCCGTGGAAAAGGCTGGAGCCAGGAGTCTGGAGGCCTCAGCTCCGTCATGTCCACCCGTGGGAAAGGGGCATGTGGTGCGGGGTCTCTGGGCTCTGTGTGTGAACCTGGGAGATGGGAAGTGGGCAGATGGGCGGGAAGCTCTTGGCACATGTGTGAGTACAGTCCTCCTCTCCAGGGTGTGGGAGCAGCTGGACACCAGGGGAGGCCCAGGCCTGCGGCTCCTGCAGGCTTGAGCTTTTCATTACGCTCACTGGATCGCTGCCATCTGCATGTCTGCCTCCGCGCCCTAGGAGGAGCCGGCCGTCTGCAGCCAGAGCTCAGGAATCAGATTAGCCCTGCCTCTGCCTTTCCCCATCCCCGCCGGCCGGGGGCAGTTCCTCACGGCCTGGAACTGATTCTTGTTTAAAAGGGGCAAAAGTGACTCCACAGTTTCATTGGAGGCAATTTACACCCCGCCACTGGCAACAACTCCAACTCCTCCCTGTCCATTGTGCCATCAGATCCATTAATAGGAAATTTCTTCAGGGGAAACTTGATTGCTGCTCCATCCGAGAGGCACACAGGCGATACAGCTCCATGTGATGCACGGCCTGCCTGGCTCGCTCTAACCCTGTTACCCAAGAAGCTAATTCTCTAATGCGCACACTGTGTGCAAGACATCCTCTTCCTTCTCTAACGCAATCGGGCGGTCCCAGAGGGGCCGGGAGCTCAGTGCAGAAATGAGGGCCTGGTCCAGGGGACAGGGTGTCCAGGCTTTTGCACTGCCCCAGATTAGCACATGCCCGTGGCTGGCACTCCACTCTGCAGCGTGGGGAGCCCTCCTTCCCGACTCCCATGGTGGGGAGGAGTGAGCCCCATTCAGGCCACCCTGGACTGACAGCTCAGACCCTCCTGCTGTTGTTGCTGCCCCTCCCTTCTCCTCTCCCTTCTCTTCCTTTCCTCCTAGAATTTTCCTCTCTCTGTCCTTGCCTTTTTCACTTCTGTCTTCCTCATCCTCCTCGCTTTCCAACCAATTTTCCTTCTCTTCTCACCTTCCTTTTATTTTTTACTTCACTCCTGTCTCCTCTTCAGATCCCCCATTTCCTGTAGTTTTACCTTCTGTTTCTTTTCACCTCTTCCTGCCCCTTTCCCTCCTGCTGCGGCACTGCCCCTTTCAGAACAAGTTCGGTGCCAGATGCTTCTCGCTGCTCTCTGTCTCCGCGGCCTGGCTCTGTGGAAGGAATGGGCCAGGCCACATTGGAGGGAGATAGGGATGTGCCTCATGGACATGCTCAGGGAGCATTTGGGGGAGCAGTTAGTGTGTGCGGGGGCGGGGGCAGTGGTCAAGTGCCTGTTCTTCAATGAGGAAGCAACTATAATGAAACCCCAAGTGGGTTTGTTACTGCCATAGGAAGGGATCCCCTCTATGAATGGGACAGTGCTAGATGCAGATTTCACCATACAAACCGCCAGAGGCGAACGCCCTCTAGAAATTTGCAGCCGATTTCTATGTGGCCAAGGAGGTGAGTGAGCAGGAGGCCAGCGTTTATTCATGGCTCCAATGTTGGCTCGAGGCTGCATTTGGGAACTCACAGAGCCCTTCTGAGTCTGATCCGCTGCACGGCTTGAGCCTGCCTGGCGGCCTATGGCAGCCCGGTCTTCCTGTCCTGCCCGTCCTGCGGTCAAGCCTGGAGTCTGGGCACATTCTTTCAGGGGGCAGGAGGGGGGATGGCTCTAAATTCTCTAGAAGTTTGGGGCCCTCTATTTTCTACTTTTCTACCACTTCTCCCCATCTCCATTCCCCCAAAGGGAATTCTTGGAGCTGATTTTCCTTGTTTTTCTAGATTGTGCAGTGAGAGAGCACATGGCTCGAAAGAAGGGTAGCCCAGGCTCCTTGAGCTTGAGTGAGCATCCCAGGCCACCCCCTGGCTCGTGGCCCTGTGAAGGGACCCCATCAATGGAGGGTATAATGCAACATGTAGATTTCACATGTACATGAATAAGAGGGAAGACCCAGGCAGAACCAGAGAGGACTTACTTCTGATCAAGGTGGGAGTTTTTTAACTTAACTAAAATTCAGAAAATTCTTTCTCCTTGCAGTGTTCTCAGCCCATTCTACCCTTAAATTCAACTGGAAAGGGATGAAATGTTCTGTGGTTGGAGCTTGCATGACTGCGCTTTGATGCAGGTGCGTCTCACCTTGAAAACAATCAAGATAGAAAAGTCTACATAGCCCGCCCGGCTGGTGTGGCTCCGTGGTTGAGCATCGACCTATGAACCAGGAGGTCACGGTTCGATTCCGGGCAGAGCACATGCCCGGGTTTCGGGCTCAATCTCCAGTAGGGGGAGTGATTCCCTCTCATCATTGATGTTTCTATCTCCCTCTCCCTCTCCCTTCCTCTCTCAGAAATCAATAAAAAATACATTTTAAAATAAATAAGTAAGAACATTTTTAAAAAGGAGAAAAAAGCCCACATCTACACATCTATTCACATGGCAAGATGGGAGTGGGGCGCCTCCAAATAAACCTATAGCCATGGTTTTCCCAGACAAGCTGGTGGCACCCAGTTGCGTATCGGGGGGATAGATAAGTGCCTATTTAACTTACAAAAAAGAGAAAGGCACTTCTTTCAAGAAAACCACATTTCAGGGAAAAGTGTTGTGACCGCAGGTGAAATGACATTAAGCAAAAAATGGGGGGAGGACACAAATGTGCATGCATGGTACACTGACTCGTTGTGTACACAGTCTAGAAGGACATTACAGAGAATATACACCGAAGTCTGAATGGTGGCTGTCCCTGAGCTGTCAGTAAGCCTATGGATGATTTCCATTTTCCTTCATTTTTCCCACAGTCAGGATGTATTGCTATTGCATTTTAACTATGCATATTGACTTTGTATAATAAAAACATATAAAATAGTTACATGGCACAGAAAAAACTGCATAGTATAAATATATATGTATATTACATCTTGATTATTTAAATATGAGTATTTAGATGAGGACAAAGGGCAGACATGTGGTGACTCCAGGTCCCCTTTCTGTCGGCAGAGCTGCCTAGCTAGGGGCCCCGTGTCACTCTGTAGAGCAAGAGAATGGGCCTCCTGCTCCTCCCACCTCACCACCCAGCCCAGCCCGATGCTAGGAAACATACTTGCCGTGGGACATACATGAAGGCAGCTGCCTGGAGCTCCCGCGGCCTCTGGACCCCAAGTCAGTCCTTGGGGAACTGAGCAGGGCACCTGGCAGAACAGAAGGATGGAGCTTCGCTGAATGACCCAGCTCGCCAGGCCCCCCTCTCAGTGGTTCCATCCCTCCCCTCCCACCCTGAAACCTGATTCAAATGAAGGATTGATTGCAGGGACACTTGGCAGCTTCCCAGCCTGGTGGCTCGGGCAGTGCGGGCAGTGCGAGGCTCAGCCACAGAAGCGCTGGGAGCAGCCTGGAGAGCAGGCGGCGGGGACACGAAGCCGGCAGAGGGCAGACAGGCTGGCCCTCGGCGGCGGGGCTCTCCCTGCACGCCCGCCACCCAGAGGCGCCCACGCCGTGGAAGCTCGCCATGCTGCCGTGGGCACCACCAGCGCTGCTTGCCCTGCTTCTGCCCGTGCTCCTGACTCAGGGAGAAGGTAAGGCGGCGGGGGAAATGGGAAACATGTAGGACGTGGCTGGCCGCCTCCCGAGGAAGGTAGGGGATGCTCGATTCCTGCCAGGGTTGAGGGAAGGTGGGTTCTGGAGTGGGTAAGGCTGCAGGGAGTCAGGCTCTCACTCCGAACGTGCATGCGAGCGTTTTGAGGCACTGGGGCCCAGCTGGGAGGTCGAGGCTGAGCCCGGTGAGAGCAGGGCTGCTGAGAGGGTGCAGCGCAGCCTGCTGCATGGGACACATGCGGACTGGGCAGCAGCGAGGTCTCTGCTCTTTGCCCTGCCCCTAAACGCACAGAGAGAGAGAGAGAGAGAGAGAGAGAGAGAGAGAGAGAGAGAGCTGCAAGGCCCCTTTGTTCTCCATGGGGATGCTGTGGTCCAGAGAGGGGAATAATGTGCTCAGGTCACACAGCTCGTTAGCAGCAGCTCCGACTTTGTTGCATGGGCTCTTGAGGTCTCTGTTTCCTAAAGTTTGCTTCTGGGGCTAACCTCCAATAACACCCAACCCCGCTCTGCACTCCCACCCATCCTTTCCTGCCTCCCCAGTGGATGCAGGGTGTTTTCGTCACAAAAGGATCGTGTCCTCTTGCTGCAGACAATACTCATTCATCTTAGACCATTTTCTCGTCATCCAGAGCTGGGCTAAAGCTGGGGCCAGGGTACGTTAGGGTGGATGGGGGGGGCGGACACGATGCATTTCCTCCCGAGAGCTGGCACTGGGGAAGCTCAGCCGGACGAGCAGGCCGGGTTGCAGGGGATGACTGGTCCGGGCTGCCCAGGCTGGGGAGCCCTCTGCCTCCCAGAAACGGCCTTTGCTCTGACCCGTGCGGCCCAGGCTGGTGCTCTCCAAACTGGACCGAATCCCAGACAACAGGACCTGGGCTGTTGCCGCTGTAGGGAGACACACAGGGCTCTGGGTTTGAATCGGTGCTATGTTAACGGATGTTATTCCCAAGGCAGCACTCCCTACCTGCTCTCCCGTCTCTCCTCTCTCTGCTCCTCTCTGCCCTGAGGGCAGCGGGGTGTGTACCAGGGACAGGTGGGGAGGGGCAGGCAGGAGGGTCTGTAGGATCGATGTATTGCACAGGTTGCGCACAGAGCCAGGCCTGCTGAGACCTGCGCTCACGCTGCCAGGCCCCCGAGGCTTTCAGCCCGCACCCTGGTCCTCCCTCTCCCACACTGTTTGTCACCCGCATGTTTCTTGGCACCTTTCAGGAAGAGCTTCTACTGCCCCAGAAGGACGCCTGAGGCGCACATGACATCCCAGAGGATGGGGCTCGGGCCTAGGAGTGGGGATTGCTCCTCGCCATTTGGTCCTCGCAGGCCTCCTGCTCTGGGACCAATGTGCTGCTGCTCGCTCCCTCCACACCTCACCCAACCCTCTTCCTAACCCTAACAAACTGCCCGCATAGCCCCTGTGAGGACCCGGCAACCTCCCCCAGGAGTTGGTGCGCCGGGCAGGTGGGGTGGCGGCCTTGGGGTGGGCTTTGCAGGAGGGAGAGGAGATGTCAGTTTTCACTGGTTGCCCCCCTTCTCCCTTTGTCAGTTGCAGGTTGGGGGCCAGGAGATGAGGGGCTGTACGGACACTGACATCTGACCTTGACTGAGGCAAACCCTCACGCAGACCTCTGGGCTGAGGAACTGTCACTGGGGGCCACTTTTTTGTACTCCTCTCATCTCCCGGGGCCGGCTCCCCTTCACTTCCCCGGAGCCCCTTGACCAGAGCCCTGCAGGCTGACCTCCTCGGAGTCCTCGGTCTCCTTCAGACCTCACCTGCCTTATGTCACCTTCTCTTCCAGTCCGGCTCCCTCTCTCCCTTAAACGAGTGTGTAGGTTGCCCGTATGAGATGCACCTTTGAGTCTGGGGAGGAGTCTGCAGACACAATGGACATTTCTGTGGTGGGGCACCTGGAAGTTTTGTGAGGTGGGACTGGTGAGGGCACTTCCCTTTTCATAGCTTCAAACCAGGGCGAGAGGCCCGTGGCTCCGGCTTGATGTCCGCTTGGGACTGTTCTCCTTCCCAGCCAGGCGCAGGGGGGGCCTCCCGGCCCAGAACACCTCGGGGTCCGCTCTGCGGCGGCTGTCGGACCACCTCCTGACCAACTACAAGAAGGGCGTGCGGCCTGTGCGGGACTGGAGGAGGCCAACCACCGTGTCCATCGACGTCATTGTCTATGCCATCCTCAACGTGGTGAGGGCTCAGCCCCAAGATGCCCCCAACTCAGAGGTGGGAGGCCCTGGGCACATGGGTACCATCGTACCTGTGGCTGGCACCACGGCTCAGACAGGCTGCAGCACCCCCATGTGCAGAGCTGCCCAAACCAGGAAACTGGGGCCACCTTTCAGCCATCCCTCCACACTCCTGCAGCCAGCGGGCCACTCACCGTATCATGGTACCATCTCCCTGTGCGGGCTGTGTGGGGGTTCAGATTGTCCTATTCATCTCTATGCCCTGTGTCACACAGGTCCCTGGCACATGGTGGGTGTTACTCAATGGTTGTTGCAGAGTCCATCACAAATCAGTTCATTGATTCCTCCATTAGTGACAGTAGTAGGTGGGGTCCACTGCCCAGCGCAGGGGGGTGGACACTGCAGAGATAAGCAGGAGGCGACTGCGGAGATGCCGAAATGGGGGCAGTGTGCTGGGTTAGGGTGGGCAGGGCTGACACCACAGTCTCCACTACAGTCCATGCGGCTGTTCAGGAAGGGAAATTGGGATTGGATAGGAGGGAGGGAGAGCGATGAATTTTTCACTCTATGTGACTTTGTACCTCTTGACTTCATTCTAGGATAGGAGAGATATAGATATAGATATAGATATAGATATAGATATAGATATAGATATAGATATAGATATAGATATAGATATAGATATAGATATAGATATAGATATATAGATATATAGATATAGATACAGATATATAGATATAGATATATAGATATATAGACATAGATATACACAATATTGTTAAATATGCTTTGTATTATCTTCTATTATGTTATGTATATCATATTTGTAAAATATAGATAACATAATAGACATATATAATATGCATGACATAATAGAAGAGAGTAGAGGGTATGTATACTTACATGCACATATAGTTTAAAAGTAAATCACTGCATTTCTTTCTAGATGTGTCCTAGTAAAAAACCAACTTTTCATGGCTGGCCCCTCCTCCTTGCCCCTTTGCTTCACCCCCACTTCCCAAGGAAATGGGGACACAGAGCAGCAGCTCCTTCTGGGGTTCGTGTGTGCAGAGTGGACCCACATCCCACAGGGCCACCTGTGCCAGCTCCCTTTCCTTTCCCAGGATGAGAAGAACCAGGTCCTGACCACCTACATCTGGTACCGGCAGGTGAGCAGCCCAGTCCTTCACCCGCTGCCTCATTTCCTGGCCTGGGACTTACCCTCCCGGGGAGGGACTCGCCACCTGGAGCGTCAGGGACCTGAGATGCAGAAGCCTGGACTCCCCTCGCTCGGGGCTGGGGATGGAAGGGGACAGAAGGCTCGGTGGGGGAAGTCCTCGGGACCTGCTCTGGGTCCTGAAGTTCTCCATGAACTGGGGCCCCAGCAAGTGTGTGCCCCACCTCTCGATCAAACACCTCCAGTGCCTGGGAGCTCAGGGGCAGCCTTCCCTCTCATGTAGCTCGAATGGCTCACAAGCCTTCTTCCTATTAAGCCAAATTGAACAACAAGCAAACTGGGTGATTGAAACAGGCTTCACCCTGTGGCTATTGACCACCTCTTCCAGCTTCCGGCGGGCATTGGTCAGGCGCTGGCGTGTGGAGTCTCTGAGGCCCCAGCAGCAGTTCTGGCTCGGAGCTGGTGGGGGAGGGCGGGCAAACAGGAGGCTGCTGTCCACCCTGTGTCCTAAGCTGGTAGCCCCGGGGCCCCAGGTACCTGGAGAAGGTGTCAGAACAGAGGGAAAGCCAACAACGTGGCTGAAGAGAAGGGGGCAGGGACATGAGGACAGATGTTGAGGTCAAGCCTGAGAGACTGTGGGGACATGCCTGGCAACGTGGGTCTCTGTTAAATCTCTCCCTCTCTTCGTGAGCACCCCACCACAGCCAGCTCGTGGGACAGGAAGTGGGGTAGAGGAAGAAGCCAAGTGCTGGTTCCTGCAGTATTGCCCCCTTTCTGCCTCCGCGAGATCCCTAAGTGCAGAACACACGCTGCCTCAGGGAAGGGACCCGGGGGACTTTCTGGAGCTCTCTCCTGGGACACCATGGCCAGCTCCCACCTCTGCACCTCTAGGGTCACTTGTCTGCCCCAGCAGTGAGGGCATGCTAGTCTACTACATGCTAAGGGACTGGAATTAGAGACACAAACTAGACTCAGGCCCTGTCCACAATGAGCTCACAGGCTGGTGCAGACCACACACATGTGAGCAGACAATTCCATGCAACCCACACAGCGGGCAAGATGTCAGCCATGAAAGCACAGAGGAGGCACGTGAAACCCGCCAGGGGACGGGGTTCCCAGAGGTCCTTGGAGCATGGAATAGTTGAGTCTAGAAGGATGAGTAAGACTCACCTTGATCAAGAAGACAGATTGCCGCATGGGCGAAGGAGCAGGGTACGGAGAGATGTGGAGGTTCCAACAGTGATCATTCCAGGTGTAGACTCCACAGAGAGGCATGGCCAACACAAACAAACCAACAACAACAACAACAACAAAACCTGAGACTAGGAAGGTAGGTGGAGGCAGATTATGTAGGCCTTTGTTGACCTCGAGGTTTAACTTTATCTTATTGCCAATGAGACGCCGCTGAAGAATTTTAAATGGGCGAGTGACATCACAGAATTTACATTTCATGGTTCTGTAAAATTGGTATTATCCATTCTATTCTGTTTTACAACCTTTTCAATGTATGTTCTCTTTGTTTTTTTCCTCGTGATTTGAAAGGCACATTCTTATTTTCATCTAGTCATGCTTGTATTTAGTTTACATTATTTCGTACAGTTTTCAGTGATAATATAGTCTATTAACTTCTGAAGCATAGCAGCCGCTATTGACTATTCCATACCTCACAGACCCTCCCACTGACCCGCCATCTTTTCCCCATGCCTTCAATAGAATGTGAAATGTGAAAATACATATATCCGTTAGGCCAGTCATCCTGGCAGGAGAGTGGAGGATGCATCGATCAAAACCTAACAGTAACCATCTCTGCCCTGGGAGGTGCATCTATCATCCCCACTTACATTTGTGCAGACTGAGACCAAGAAGCTGTCCTCTCAGACCCCTCCGCTGGTGGCTAGGGGATTCAAAATGTTAGCAATGCCTGACGCCGCCCCTGGGCGAGGCTGCATGGTATTTGCATGTAGGAAGTGCGTGGGCACAAAGGTGGGGGCCTCTCAGGTGCTGCTGAGTGACTAGGGGGCCACTGACGCCCAGATTCCCCCAAGAAGATGCCTGCCTTTCTCCGGGGCCCTGAGAGGTGGAGCTGGCCTGAGCTGGGGACGGCCCCGCCCACCCTCACGGGTCCTGCTCCTCCCCTAGTACTGGACTGACGAGTTTCTCCAGTGGAACCCCGAGGACTTCGACAACATCACCAAGCTGTCCATCCCCACGGACAGCATTTGGGTCCCGGACATTCTCATCAACGAGTTGTGAGTACCGCCATCTGGTGCTGGGCGGCCAGGTAGCTGGGGCTGGGGAAGGCAGGGGGCCCCCCCACACACCCCCAAGGCTTGCAGAGCTGCGGGTAAAATTAGCTTGGGCCCAAATTCCCTGCTTTTTCTTTTCTTTTTAAAAACTCCTCTGTGCTTAATGTTGAAACCCTGCACTGCTTGATCCAACGGCCCCGCCTGAGGAAAGGAAGCCAGGGAGAGAATTCGCGTTGCTATGATAGTCGGATGAGGCGGCTGCATTTAGAAGGGACAGTAACATTACTGGAAGGAATGAAGTCCTGGCCACAGGGGAGACTTGAAGCTGGGAGACACTCACACTTCTCGTCACACCTGTGCCTGAGCAGCCACAGATTGCACCCTCCGTCTGAAGTGGGTCCCCCTAGCCTTCATTCTCAGCAGCCAGTCTCTCTGGCCTTGGCCAACATTCCTTCTCCTCACCCTCAGGTACCTTCTGGCTGGGGAGATGGGTGGGAGGAGGAAGTGGGGGGGCCGGTCACCCTCTGCCAGGACCCACTGCATCGCCCCGCTCCAGGGGCGCCGCCCACACTGGTTTTCATGAGAGGCCGTTGACCAGGAGCCGCGTGCCCTGCATTGCTCAGGCTGGAGGGACACGGGGAAATTCCAGTTTCTGGCTGAATCTGCAGTTTAATCGGTGAAACAGCGATAGTCTTGAGTTCTCAACTCTCAGCCTGAATCCACAGAAACTGCAGGCTCAGGGCCGCGGGCCCCGGCCTCTGATGCCACAGCGGCCACTTTCTGCCCTGTGCCCCTTCGTCTCCATGGCGTTTCTAGTTCCTTTTCCTGCAGAGGTGATTCCTCTTACTCACAGGCCTCCCAGCGACAGGAAGCCCGAGTCAGGATGGAGCCCACCAAACCTGCCCATTGCCACACTGGGTGGGCATCCTGGGAACTGAGCTCTGCCCAGCCAGTGGGTGGCAGTGTAGGGACAGCTGGGCATGCTCCTTAGTGTCTGCGGCATTTGGGGTCCAGGGATCCTTGCCTGCCTTTTGTTAGGTTGCCAGGGAAATAAAGGAAAAATGCCTTTACTCAGGAATGCTTGGAAAGCAGTGTTGATGCAGGTGAGGAGGCCTAAGAGAGATAGGAAGGTTAGAAAAATCAATTCCAGACAACGCTGTCCTGCTGCCCTAGCTCCTCCTTGGGTTTCTTTCCCTGCTGGCTGCTCAGAGACCCTCAGACTCCCAGGCCTGACCTGTTTCTTGAGCCCCAAGCTGCCCCCTCTCCCCTGGACAGCGTGGACGTGGGGAAGTCTCCAGATATCCCGTATGTGTATGTCGGGCATCAAGGCGAGGTCCAGAACTACAAGCCCCTCCAGGTGGTGACTGCCTGCAGCCTCGACATCTACAACTTCCCCTTCGATGTGCAGAACTGCTCGCTGACCTTCACCAGCTGGCTGCACACCAGTGAGTAGACGGGCTTTGGAGGCAGGGGCGCAGGCTGGGGCCCAGGACACTTGAGTGAGGAGCACATCCCGGATGCATCTTCCTTATCCAACTTTCCTACCACTTACTTTTCTTTCTTTCTCTCTCTCTTTCTTTCTTTCTTTCTTCCTTTCTTTCCTTCCTTCCTTCTTTCCTTCCTTCCTTCCTTCCTTCCTTCCTTCCTTCCTTCCTTCCTTTCTTTCTTTCTTTCTCTCTCTTCCTTCCTTCCTTTCCTTCCTTCCTTCCTTCCTTCCTTCCTTCCTTCCTTCCTTCCTTCCTTCCTTTCTTTCTTTCTTTCTTTCTTTCTTTCTTTCTTTCTTTCTTTCTTTCTTTCTTTCTTTCTTTCTTTCTTGTTAATCCTCACTGGAGGATATTCCTCCCCCTGGATTTTAGAAAGAGTAGAAGGGAGGGGAAAAGGAGAGAGAAGCATTGATGTGAGAGAGCCACATCAATTGGTTGCCTCCCCAATGCACCCCAGCTAGGGCGGGGAACCTGCAACCCAGGTACATGCCCTTGTCTGGAATCGATGTTCTAATCCCCGAGCCATGCCGGCCAGGGCACCACTTCTATTTTTAATGCCACTGAGCCTATTTCTTTATCCTCCAAATGGGATTAACCTGGTTTCCCGGTGCTTCCCTGTCATCATGCCAACTGACCGAGACAGTGCAAACACTCAGTAGGGCCCATTCTTTCCCAGGATCACTCACAGGAGTGGCACTCGATGCCTCTCAAAGCCCTCACTTCTCCTCTCCCCTGATGCACTCTCCCCTAATCCAAGCCAACCTGATCTTGTGCCCAGGTTTCGGCAGTAGCCTCCTTGCGGGTCCCCCTCCTTTATTCTTGAACCCCTCCAATTCATGCTCCTCAGAGCAAATGGAGATCTTATTAAAATGCAAATCTGCTTAAGAACCTTGATGGCTTCCCAATGCTCCCAGGACAGAATCCAAATCCTTCACCTGGCCCGTGGGGCCCTGGGCTGGCCGCCCGCAGCCCATTCCTCCAGCCCCTAATCACAGGCTGCTCCCCCCCCACCCCACCCCCCCAGGCCACTTGCCCTCCTTCCTCTCCTGCTTTCCTTCTTGTCCCACTCCTGCCCCAGCCACACCTGGGGTAGCCAGTTCCTCTACTCACCTTTGAATCACAGCTCAGGGTCAGCTTCTCGGGGAAACCCCTCCCAGTCTCCAGACTAGGCATCCCCAACGCCCAATGTACAGCCTCCTGTTCGTCTTCCCACGTCTATTGTGCTTGTAAGCACTTGTTCAATGTGTACTTCTCTAGCCAGTACACACGAAGAGAGGGCGGAACAGGATTTCTGCCCCACCACTGGGTGCACAGCACGGTGCCTGGCACAGAGAAAGGTGCTGACAAACACATCGAGGGGGTGCACCCTAGGTGCTCACTGAGGCCTAGGGACGTGAGCATCACTTTACTGCAAAACGGCATCCTCCACTACATTCTAATTTTGACCAAAACCCAGAATTACAAATGATCTTTGACCTCTACCCGCATTCCCAAACTCTTCACCAACTCCCCACACCAGGACTTAACAGCTTTCAGCAGTATAAACTTTATATGATATGCTCTTCCAGGTCCTTCTCTACCCTTTGCCTAGATACACATACATTACCATCTATGGAAAGTGCATGGGAATTATTCTATATACATCATTTATGCTACTGCTACTTGCTTCGTTTTACTCAACCACAGATCTGGGACATTTTCCCAAGTTAGTGCGCATGTAGAGCTCCCTCATGAATTCAGACCCCCGTAGACTATCCCGTGGTCTGGGTGCATCAGAGTTTGTTCCGCATTCTCCTGATCCATGGGCACGTCAGTCATTCCTGCTGCTTGACTGCAGTGGGCGCTCCTGTCCTCTGGTGCCATGCACATCTGTCTCTGTAATAGAAGCAGAGGCGCTAAACTATTCTGTAAGTGGGGGTTCTGCTTGCTTCCAGTTCAGGCGGCTTTCTGCAGGCCGAGGTGAAGAGTACTGACTTTTGTTTATTTCCTAAATAGGTAATTATAACAAGGAAACTTAGAAAGGTGTGTATGTGTGGGGGGGGGGGGGACTATTTAATAAATGGTTTGTTGGTTCTTTGCATTTTGCTGTATGTTTCACTTCATCCTTCCTTCCCCTCGCTCCAGGCCCACTGTACAGATAGGTACTGTGTGCAGTGACCTCACTGTGTAGCTGAGGAAACTGAGGCTGGAGATGAAGAGCTGAAGGGAGCTAAGCCATGTGGGCGCGCCACCCGGCACCCCACTGTCGCGGGCTCTGGCATGCCGCTGGCGTGGGCTCCAGCGCTGGCTTGCTTTCCTCTCTCCCAGTCCAGGACATCAACATCTCCCTTTGGCGCCCGCCAGAAAAGGTGAAGTTCGACAAGAGCGTCTTCATGAACCAGGGCGAGTGGGAGCTTCTGGGGGTGCTGACCCAGTTTCGAGAGTTCAGCATGGAAAGCAGCAACTGTTATGCAGAAATGAAGTTCTACGTGAGTGGGACGGAGCGGGTGCGATTAAAATAATGAATAGAACCACTAGACCAGCACACCCAGGCAGACTTGAGGAGACATGGGGGAGAACCACCGTGGCCCCGGCCCAACCGCAGGGTCACACTCATCTCCTGGAACTTCCACGAGGTAGATGGGGCAAGAGCTGAATTGTCCCTCACTTATCCTAACAGCCACAAGCCTGAATCCAGAGGCAAAATGTGGGGTCTGTCCGTGTCCTTTTCTGAGAAATGCAGGTTGAATCCTCTACCAAGCAAGGGGGCTGGGATGGGGAGCGGTTCCTGGGCACAGGACCTGTCTGCCCCAGGCCTCCCCCAGAGCTCTTCTCCTGGTCCCAGGTGGTCATCCGCCGGCGGCCCCTGTTCTATGCGGTCAGCCTGCTGCTGCCCAGTATCTTCCTCATGGTCATGGACATTGTGGGCTTTTACCTGCCCCCGGAGAGTGGTGAGAGGGTCTCCTTCAAGATCACACTCCTTCTGGGCTACTCTGTCTTCCTGATCATTGTGTCCGACACGCTGCCAGCCACCGCCATCGGCACTCCCCTCATTGGTAAGGCCTGCTTCTGGGGAAGAGCTCGCTGTGGCCAAGGAAGCCAGGCGTGGGCCCTCCCACCTTCTATGTGTCTCCCTCCCGCCCTCTCCCCGGGTGCACAGGTGTCTACTTTGTCGTGTGCATGGCTCTGCTGGTCATCAGCTTGGCTGAGACGATCCTCATTGTGCGGCTGGTGCACAAGCAAGACCTGCAGCAGCCGGTGCCTGCCTGGCTGCGGCGCCTGATTCTCGAGCGAATCGCCCTGCTGCTCTGCCTGGGGGAGCAGCCAACCTCCCATCGGTGCCCAGCTGCCTCCCAAACCAGCAAGACTGATGACTGCTCAGGTGAGGGGGAAGCGGGGGGTCCCTATGCAGGGGCCCTTCTGGTTTGGAGGCAGGGGCATGGGGGAAGGGGGGTGTCTCTGGAGGACGTGCCCAGGAGCTCAGCCAGGCCTGGAAGGTGAGTGCTGTCCTGCATGTGGCACCCCACGCACCACTTCACGGGGGGGGGGGGCGGGCAGCCTGAGTGCCCATCTCTCTGCACCTGCACATGCTCATCAGCCTGGGTGGACAGAGACAGGGCAGGATGCAGGATGCAGGGTGCAGGGGGACCCGCTGAGGAGTTGCCACAGCCATTTGGTGGTCGTGCTGGGGGAGTGTTGGTCTGTCTCTTGCGCACTTTGGGCCAGGCATGTGCGAAGCATTTCCTGTGGGATCACAGGTGATCCTGATGGTGACCCAATTGGATTTTCATCCTCATTTTCCAGTGAAGCTGTCCGGACCCGGGCTTTTGTTTGCTGGGAGTTTTTTGATTACTGCTTCTATTTCATCAGTTGTTATTGGCATACTCAGGTTTTCTGATTCTTCCTGGTTCCGTTTTGGGAAATTGTGGGGTTTTTTTTAGGAATTTGTCCATTTCATCCACACTGTCCTCATTCTCATTTTTCAAATGAGAAAACAGGGGTACAGTGAGGCCAAATAGCTTGTCCTAAGGCACAGAGCCAGGAACTGGCCCAGTGTGATTTGAAATCAGACTGAGCTAGTGTTTTAACCACTCCACGCCCCTGCACTCCTCTTTGTCCGCCCTTTGGGCCAGAGCCACGCCTCTTACAGATGTTCCGTTAACCTGCCACCATCTCCTCATGAATTCATGAGCTCGAGCAGCAATTTTCAACCTTTTCACCTCATGGCACATGTAAACTAATCACTAAGATTCTGCAGCATAGCAAAAAAATGTATTTTTTGCCGATCTGAAAAAAATAGGTATACTTTTGATTCATGCACACTGAACAGCTATTGTGTTGGCTATTGTTGTTATTTTTATTATTATTTTGCCAACCTAAGGGAAAAGAGGTCAGTGCCCTTGACTAAATAGCCAGATATCGCATGTTTTAAAAATTGTTGTGGCACAGTTGAAAATCTCTGAGCTAGAGCACCCGCCTAATGCCTGATTTCACTGCTCACCTGGTGAAGGCTGCCACATCTGCAGGCGTGTTTTCTGGTGCAGAAGGCCTCGGAGAGGAGGGCATTGAGGCAATAAGACACAGTGGAGAGGGCAGTGGATTCAGAGCCCAGATATCTAGGCCTCAATGGCCTCGCTATTAAATGACGCTCCCGCTGTGTGAACACAGGCTAGTCACTTACCCTCTCTGAGCGTTAGCACCTTCATACAAAGAGTGTGGATAACAATTCATCCCCCTCCGCTCTTCCATGGGCTGTTGTGAAGCTCAAATGAAATGGTGACTATCAAAGCTAGGGAAAGACCATGAGTTAAAAAGCAAGTGCATGGGAAGGATAAACACCAAATTTGATGTTGGTGACCTGGGGAGGGGATGGAAGATGTGATGAAGAAGAGGTGTACGGGAATCTCCCACTGTATTGGCTTTCTTAATTTGCTTAAGTTGGATGGCGGGTACACAAATAGATAAATTACTCCCGATGCTCTTTATGTCTGAGATTGCTCATGCTAACACCTTCTGCAGGCCAAAGAAATGTAAGGGACGATGTTCAGGCCATCTGGCTAGACCCCCTCCCTTGCCAATGCTCTGCCCCTTCTTCCAGACATGGGAAACCACTGCGGCCATTTGGGAGGACCCAGGGACTTGGACAAGACCCCGAGGGGCAAAGACAGCCCGCCCCCACCGCCGCGGGAGGCCTCCCTGGCCATGCGCGGGCTGCTGCAGGAGCTGGCCTCCATCCGGCACTTCCTGGAGAAGCGGGAGGAGAGCCGAGAGGTGGCCCGGGACTGGCTGCGCGTGGGCTCCGTGCTGGACAGGCTGCTGTTCCGCATCTACCTGCTGGCGGTGCTGGCCTACAGTGTCACCCTGGTCACACTCTGGTCCATCTGGCAGTATTCCTGAGGAGTCCAGCCGAGTGAGGGTGGGGGGACTTCAAGGGTCCAGGGGGTGCCAGGGGTGTTCTCAAGTCACATATACAGCTCCATCCCTGGTTCCAATGCCAATTTATCCCAGCAAGCCCGAAGCAGCGCCTTCACCCTTCTCCCAAAATCTTGGCGTCCGAGATCCTTACATCCTCCCTGCCCCCACCTGCCACGATGGCTTTGAAACATGTTGTCTTAGATCAGAAGAAATCCATGCATTTCCCAACTTCACTCTGTATCTATGCAGTAAGCCTCAGTTTCCCCGCTGGCACCCCCCTAAATAAGGCACTTTGGAATCCTGCTCAACTCCCTCAGCCTGGTTTTTGAGATTGAAGGCCAGCCAACTCTCTAATATATGGGCCTGATAACTGCTTGAGGTTTATCCAACACTAACGTCTCCTTCTTCACCTCCGCTGTGACCACTTCCCTGAACACTCACGTTTCATCAGATGGTGGGGGTGGGGATAATAAAATGCGATAAATCCCTAACCTCTCTTCTTGACCATTTGTCAGGAGTCGCGTGAGGATGAAGAGGTTTACAGTTACTGGTGAAAGTGAGGGTGGGGAGTATCTGTGGCTTCAGCTGTTTGGTGCCTCCTGCCCCTAGGGAATGGTGGCTGTTATGAAGAAGAAATAACAGGCGGTGGGATTTAAATGGGAAGGTCAGGACCATGAACACAGCAATGGATGGGTGGGCGGGGGAAGCTCAGTTCTTGATCTCTGGCAGGATGCTGGACGGAGGTGGTCCTCCCTGCGCGAGGACCCTGCCCTGCAAAGCAGAACATCAGCACCACGGCCAGCGCCAGCAGGCTTGGTTTTTCAGACTGAGAGCTCAGGTTTGAGACTGTGTCTAGTTTTGCTTCTTTAATTGCCTTTTGGGAACTCTCAGCGGCCAGCCACTGGCACATCCACCAGGACCACGAGGGAGGCAGGCGGAAGAGTGGCCTTTGATCTCTAGCTTCCTCTCCCAGACATTGGGGTTCAAGACGTGCTGAGCAGCACCCCGACTCTATCACTCCACCCACCTCCCAGGCATTCAGAGGAGAGGAGTGCCGGAACCCACCTCGGCGTCCCCCGTGGGTGCCTGAGGCTGGCTCTCCGCTCTTTCTCTGCCCAGCGCACCCCTCTCCCTGCCCCGGGCTGCTTGTCTCTCCGGGGAAGACGTGTGGACAGGGACTGAACACACCAGGCTAAGGGGAAAGGGCCCCAAAGAAATGCCTGGAATGAGCTGTTCTGGGCTGGCCAGTGAGAAGGGTTCAGTAAGAAACACCTGAAGCTATGCCTTCCCTTGACCCCACACTCTGCAGTTCTAGTGTGTAGACCATCCTGGGCACAACCTTGGGACCTCGTGTCTGGAAGAGCCTGAGGCTGAGGAAGGGGGCTCGTCTGGTTCGGCTTCTCTCGGCTTCTCACCCCAGGTCCCCAGCGTGGAGCAAGAACTCACAGAGGGAGAACTGCATGGAGTTCATCCGATACTTCCATCCAGGCATGCGGGCTTTGGGACTAGCTAAGGACGTTATGTTTATCTTTGTTCTGTTGGTGGGTAGGTATCAGGGTCTCCCAGCAAAAAGCAGGAGATTGTGGGGCTGGAGAGTAGCCCCACTCACAGTGGTTGCTTCCTGATAAGTAGACGGCTCATCCTGACGCTCCCAGGATGGTCCCTGCAGCAGCACCTCAGAGCCTGGTCTTGGGAAAAAGCTGCTCACTCACTTGGACTTGTCCTGCCCAAGTCCTGCTCACTGCACTTGGACGTGTCCTGCTCACTGCACTTGGACGTGTCCTGCTCACTCACTTGGACATGTCCTGCTCACTCACTTGGACATGTCCTGCTCACTGCACTTGGACTTGCTGGGCCAGTCATGCTTCTGGCACTGTTGATGCCCCACTGGTCAGGTCAGTAAGAGGGTGGCTATTGACAAAGTGTCTAACCAGAGAGCTGGTGAGACACTAATCAACCTATTGATTCCTCATCTCTCCCTCCCCATCCTTCACCCACAATCGTTGGAGCAACAGAGCCCAGCACTGCGGCAGCCAATTAACCACCTTAAGAATGAGCTGCCACGTGTAACATCTTCTGCTCCACGAGCCACAGCCAATCAGCTCATCGATCCACATCCAGGCTGTGCTACCCAGGGATTGGAAACTGAGGCCAGGGCCAGGGAATCCCCAGTGTACGAACTCTTGTCATCAGTATTGACCTTGCACTTCTCCCAAGGAAGCCTTTACCCTGCCCAGGACATGAGAAGGCCTAGAGCAGCAGTTCTCAACCTGTGGGTCGCGACCCCTTTGGGGGTCGAACGACCCTTTCACAGGGGTCGCCTAAGACCATCGGAAAATACATATATAAATACATATTGTTTTTGTGATTAATCACTATGCTTTAATTATGTTCAATTTGTAACAATGAAATTGGGGGTCACCACAACATGAGGAACTGTATTAAAGGGTCGCAGCATTAGGAAGGTTGAGAACCACTGGCCTAGAACGTCTCTCCCAACTGTTATATTTCCCGGAATCTGCTTCCTTCCTCCTTCTGAGAAGCTTGTTGGTTCTCTATCTCATCTCTACTCCTTTCTATTCACATACGAAGACTCCCTGTTCTCAGCTGCCTTTCCCATTTACCTGCTTTCCAAAACCTGTCATTCTACTCAAAAGCTCCCATTAAAGGTCTTGAATGCGCCCAGCCCTCTGTAGTGCTCCAAGCAGTGGAACCGGTGGCCCATATCCCAGGAGGCCACCTTTCCCACTGGAGGGTGGCAGCCTCGCTCAGCGACCCAGGGCCCCTCGCAGGAGAGGTCCAGGGGGAGTGGCTGAGCTCAGAGTTAGGAGATGTGCTTAAGGGTGATTTCCCTGAGAGAATGGGAAGACAAGCTGCCTGGGGGGGGGGGGGGGGGCCTAGAAGGGGGGGGTGAGCATGAGGAGAGGTGTTTCAGCAATCCCCGGCCAGATTCTCCTCCCTCCCCCATCGCCCTCCAGCCTCCAAATCAATACATTTGGAATCTAATCTAATAACAGAGATTTAACGAGGGAATGATGCGTGTGCAGCGCCAGGCGCTTTGTCTCTTCTTTCAAGCGGCAGCTGGGGCCCATTATCGGGACAATGCCCCATGCTAATCACTCCCCTCGCCTCCGAGGGCTGGGGAGGGGCGGTGGACACAAGAGGGCAGCTCCCCTCCTGATTGGAGGGGAGTGAAGGGGTGAAGGGGGAAGAAGTGGAGAGGGGTCTGGACGCCCCCACACAGTTGTCCTGACCTGACACCCACTCACTGGCCTCCTCCCCACCCGCACTGCCCACCCGCAGTCAGGACCGGGAGCCAGCAGTGCACGCAGCAGCAGATAATTGCCCATCAGCTGCAGCCCAGTGGCTGGGAGTTGGGTAGGTTTTGTTGCTTTTTTTCTTTCCTCTAACTTGGTCCTCTATAATTTAAGCTCTCCCATTAAGGCCTGTGATTGGCCAGTCCTGACTGCGTGGTTAGAGAATTAAACCCTGGTTTTAGAGACCATGAATACCCTCTCTGAAATAGAAGCCTGCTTCCACATCCTCTATCTCTTCATTCTAGGACCTGACCAAAACCAAAAACAAAAAGCCTCTTTTTTCCTTCCCTGAGATGTTCTAAATTACCATCCCAGCGGCCAGAGTGAGGGAGAGAGACAGAACCGGGGCCTGTCCGTAGCCGTGGGCCAGGTCTGACCAAAGGCTGCTCGCACTCCTCTGTACGCAGGAATGTCAGATTAATTTCCAGGCGGCTGTGTCCACGATTATTCAGAGAGAACCTCCAGGCACCTCTGAACCCCAGGAGCCTCTGCTTCTGATTTACACGTGAACTTTCCAGCCTTGCCTACAGCCTGTCCGAGAGGGCACGCCTCTTCCCGGCTCCGCGCCTGAACTGCCTGCCTCCGCCTCTGCAGCCCCTTCGTCCGCAGCAACGTCAGTCCTTCCAGAAAGGCTTACGTCTCGCCCTCCACTCGATGTACAAACACACCAAACTCCAGGCAGCGCACCGCTGTCTTTCCCACCTGGCCAAGCTGCTGTGACACGGACTCCAAGCCCGGGGCCCAGCGGCAGCAGACTCTCCTCCTGCCCTGGCTGGTGTGGCTCAGTGGATAGAGCGTCGGCCTGCAGACTGAAGGGTCCCGGGTTCAGTTCCGGTCAAGGGCACATGCCCGGGTAGCGGGCTCGGTTCCCAGTGGAGGGCGTACAGGAGGCAGCCGATCAATAATTCTCTCTCATTGATGTTTCTCTCTTTCCCTTCCTCTCTGAAATCAATAAAAATATATCTTTTTTAAAGTCTCTTCCTCCTCCTCCTAATCCTCCTCCTCCTCTGCTTCCTCCTCCTCCTCCTTTGGCCAGCAATGGCCTAATAAACCCTTTCTTTTAAAAGGACATTCAGCCATGAAAGTTCAATTTTTTGTTTAACAGACCTGATAACTGGACTTGGCCTGCAGGAGGAGGTGTGGCGGTTAGGTGTAGGAAGAACCTCCTGATGCTCACATTCCCGACAGGAATTAGGCTGGGACTCCGAAAGGAAAGGGCTGGAATCTCACTTCCCAGAGCCTTTGAGAGAGAAGCCTTTCCTTAGGTTGGGAAGGGGCAGACCCGGTTGGAGAGAAGACTTGCCTCAAGTCCCACTGCTACACTGGGCTTGGGAGGCCGGCCCCCGGAGCTGGGACCGCTGAAGGTTGGCCACGCTCATTCCTTTCTGCAGCACGTTTATTGGGGACAATAGAAGAGTGAGCTATCCAAACTCTGGGTTTTTCCCCATGACATGCTGGCTGTGAAACCTCGGAGGAGCACTGAGTCCTCTGTGCCTCAATCTTCTCACCTGTCGAACGGCTATCACATCAGCACCTGCCTCCTGGGTGATGCGGGCCTCACGCTCCCAAATGGGGCCGAAGCCCAGGGAATCACGAGGCTGGAGTAGAGCGAGGTCTAGTGGCCCGCCAGCCCTTCCCCACTCTGCTCTCAGCACACTCTGAGTG